CCGTGGAATCATAGAAGTCCTGCAGCCTCCCAGGTTTGCTCTCCAGGTTCTCATACTCGGAGGCCTGAAGAATCATCTCACATCGGTCCAGCTGCTTCACAAACCTGGCTTCTGCACTTGACTGGGTCTCATACTCCTAAGGACGAAAGCAGCACCATGAGAATCAGACTCGCAGCTAAAAGCACGTTCTGTACTGGCCACCCCTCCCGACCACGCGCAAGCCCCTCACAGAGCCGCGGCCTCCGACACTTCACCGCTTGCTCTCAGCCCTCCGGGCAAGAAGGGTGCGCTCGCCGTTCTGCGTCCTCCGCCAGATGCCTCCCAAGTCTCTTCTGTTCGCATCGACACTCCAGGCCTCCTTCTCCCCGGCTGGTACCGTGTCTTCAGGATCATTATTCTTTCATCCACCGCAGCGGTGGAGCTCTTTTTAACTTCAAGCTAATATTTCATCGCATGCTTCTCAAATTATTTCCGTCCCCACTTAAAAACGGTCAAGCTTCCTTTTCAAGGGCATTTCTAGCTTTCTTACGGAATTTTGGCTGTCCCTTTACAATGGAAATCTCTGTCCTTGCTTTCCAAACAGGTCCCCCTGGGGCGTGACTCCGGAGGACACGGGCAGGATCTGCGGGTTCTTCGCGCAATGGCGCGTGCACGCGCACGTCCTGGTGACAAGGGGGTGCTGAAGGCAGTGGTTGGGGAGCGGCTTTTTTGTCTTTCCTCTGCCTTCTGGTCCTGCCCTCCTCAGTGCAGACCCGAAACAAGCGGCTCCGGGAGGGCTGCTTCGTAGAGCATGACACATGTCACACAACCCCAAGTCCCAATTAATACTAGATAGAATCGTTTTTCTATTAAGACCAAAGTGTTCCCAACTGGTTTCCCTGCAAAGTGCTCATTTGTAATTCCACCCCAGATGTGTCTGGATAATGAACCTGTCATGCTTTCTTGGCAGGGTGATGTGATGTGACTCACTTAAGGTTTCTCGGTTTTTATTAGATGCCTTATTCTTATAAAGGCAGCTATCTGGATTTTGATAGAGCTGACAATTGTACAGGGAAATCGTTTTAATATGAAACCAAATACATTTTGTTTTATTTCAAAGGCACTTAAAAATAATTATTTAAATGCTTATTCACATTTATAATTATATATTTATATTTAATAATTCAAGTTCATTATTCAACAAAAAAGAAGTCGAATATACTCAAGGCATGGCAGTTCAGGATTTTTCTCTATTGAAAGTAAGAAAAAAAGATTTCGAGACCATTAGGAAATGACCACCCACTGTATAACAAATTCTGGTGAAATTACACGTTTCTTTTAAAAATATAAATTGTTGGGTTTTTCCTCAAAAAGTAATGGTACAGGCATTTCCCAATTTCATTTTCCAACAATGAGGCAGGGCAAGGAGAACAGTGAGGCCAAGAAAGCTCTAGAAGTAAGAAGACGCCATGGCATCTTTGGGGAACTTACTGCAGGCAGTTTCTCATGACAGGATGCAGAATTAATTGCAGGAGGAAGAGGAGAGAGAAGAGGCTGAAGGGGGGAGGAAGGGTCAGCTCCTGAAAGGCCTTGTGGTTTGTGATAAAGGGGTTTCAGCTTATCCTGCAGCTACTGGACATCACTGAAAGGGTTCAGGCCAGAAGGGTCATGATCAGACATTGTAGAAAGATCATCTTACCCTCAGTGTGGAAAATGGCTAGACTAGAGGCAGAGAAATCAGGCTCTGAGACTTGGTAACACCAGCAGAGCAGCTAGGAGAATCTGGTCTGGCCTAATCTCGCGGCAACGAAGATGGAACAAGTGGGCAGATTTGAGAAATACTAAGGGTGAAGAAGTGAACCAAAATGTGGACATGAACGAAAGGAAAAGCTAAAAATGACTCCTTAGTTTCTGGCATGGGTAACTCAAGAGGGAGCTAAGGGGAGAAACAGACCCAAAAAACTGACAGAGCAAAGAAACAGCAAAACCAAAACCTAATGAATATTTATAACAAAACTACAGAACATAACATTACCATGAATCACAAAATATACATTAAGTGGGGACAAATCACTTCTAGGCATGAGCCCTGCTTTCCATCAGCAGGAGCAACAGGGCATCTGATGGACCTGAGAATAGGAGAACCTCAGCTCCAGGAGCAGCTGACGCAAACCCAGCCCTGGTGAATTCGCCAGTCTGACCTGCTGGGGCTCCCTCCAGACCAGGGCCCCATAGAAAGAGAAACTGCTGGGGGTGGAATCAAAAGTGAGTGGCGTAAGGATAACAAGAAGAAGAAAAGAAAAAGTCCAGATAAAAGTGGAGAAAGAGAACAAAGCCAGGGAATCTCTGAACGCAGGCCACCATATATTAAAACAAAACAAAACAGAGCAGATGAGGAAGCTCTGTGAAGTTCAAAAAAGTTATCTGGGGGCGCCTGGGAGAGCTGAAACCTGACTCTCGATTTCAGCTCAGGTCACTATCTCAGGGTCGTGTGATTGAGTCCCGCATCCCATCCGGGTTCCACACTCAGTGGGGAGTCTGCTTGAGATCCTCTCTCTCCCTCTCCCTCTGCCCCTTTCTCCCCTCTCAAATTAATAAATACCTTTTTTTTTTAAGTTATCTGAACGAAGTTTCCTTCCAAAAGTTTGGGAAAACTAATTGTGTATCAAAATGAGCAACAGAAAAAGCACAGAGATGAGATCCCATACAAGCCTACCAGAAGATAAAAAGAACAAGGAGCAAAATGACATCTCTACAGATAAGTCACATCAGAAAGACATCCTTAATTTTTTTTAAAAGGATCAAATCTATAAGAAACTACTTCAAAAAGAACTAAAAGATGCTAAGGAAATGTTAAGACATGAAAGAACCATATAAAAAGCATTAGAGATAAAAGAAAAAGTCATTTTTGCAGTGAAGGCTAAGCAAATAGAAACACAGGGATATTTAAACATGATAAATAATACCTCAAGAGAAATAGAAATTGAAAAGGAAGTTAGGTTTAAAAGTCAAAAAGAAATGAAGAGGATGTAAAGGATCTGAGGGAAGGTGACAAATATTAAAGACAGGCAAAGAAGAACCAACATTACAGGTATGTAGGTGTTTTGGAGGAAAAAAGGACACCAAAGTAAAAGATAAACTATATTCAAAAAATTTTTCTTGAAATTAATTTTTTTTAATTTGAAAGTATATATTGAAAACACACACTAAGTAGCTAAGGATATTAACCCAGAAGGACCAACACCAAGACACATTCAAATAAAATTACCATATATATTTTTAAAAAATCCTTTGGACACCTATGCAGAAACAACATTGGACATGTAAGGAAAATAAAATTATTATTAGACTTTGCTTTATGACCAAAGAGAATGGGAGTAATGTATTTAAGATATTCAAGGAAAGAAACTAGGAGCCAAAGATTTTATAAAACTGACCTTCCAGTATAAAGAACAGAGAGGCAAGTTTAAAGCATATTGTTCCTGTGAGCCCTTCTTGAAGAACCTACAAGAGAACAAGTTTCAGACAGCCAAAATGACCAGGACAAAATGACATAAGGACGGGTAGTGAGCATCAACAGGTACTTGCAGAACTAAGATTCAGCGAGGTGTAAGAACAATATGTTATGGTTAATGTAATGTAATGGTAACGTAACAGTCTAGAGTACAATCTAGGTAGAGTACAACCATAAAAAAAATACAGAAGAACGGAGACAGCATAGGCAAGACAATTTTTTAAACTGTTTTCAGTAATCAGAATTGATGATGGTGGTATATACAATTGTTACTCTGAGACGGGTACATGTGTAGAGAAGGATAAAGCCTATATAATCAGGATTCCTTGTGTGGAAGAAAGGATAACATAGAAGAGGTTAAAACATACCATACAAGAGGTTAAGTAAAAACCGTGCAGTACTGTATTTGAATTGGAAATATCACCATGAACCCACGAGGAATACACACATGTATATCCTAACTCTGTCCGTTAAAAAGCATAAGAACAATAACCAACTCAGTAGCAGCAAGCACCCCACTGCACATATTGTGGTCTTGAAATAACGCTGCCTATTGAAACAAAAAAACAAAACAGGAGGTCTGGCTGAAGCATGCTCAAGATGAATGAGGCTGGATTACTGTCTTTCCTGCTATCAAGGAAGCGACCAAAGTCAAGTTTCTATCCCACCTTTCCTATATGAACTGCAACCAAAGAGGAGATGAGGAAGAAGCCTCTGCTTATACAATTATTTCAGCTACTAAATGAAAACAAGACAAAAACATTAGTATATTACAATTCTCAGTGCATCAAGAAAACATTATGTGCCTCAGGATAAAGAATCCAACACCATCTACAGTTTTGCCAAAAAGATCCAACGTGAGTCTGATCCAGGCTCTGGATTCAGAGGCCAATCTGCAGAAAATAAAACAGAGGAACAGAACTGCATCATGAGTGTGCAAAACCCAGACTATGGAAAACTCTGTAAGCCAAATGGTCTGGATTCTTCAACAGATAACTTGAAAGAAAGAGAAAGAGATGGGGTGGGGTCAGAGGGGAGGGGCAACTGTAGATTAAAGGAGATTTAAAAGATATATTAAAGCTTTAAAAAAATGGACAGGATTAAACTACAATTTGGGATGACCGCTTGGGTGATAAATCCATGAAGAAATTCAGGTGATCCCTGTGAAAATCAGGGCAGTGGTTACTTTTGAAGGGAGTGGTTGGGCTTGGTCTGGGCACAAGAAAGGGCTTCTACAGGGGAGTGGCACAGTTCCAAATCTTTTTGTTTTTTAAGATTTTATTCATTTATTTGACAGTGAGAGAGAGAGCACAGCAGGGGGAGCAGGAGAGGGAGAAGCAGGCTTCCCGCAGAGCTAGGGAGCCTGATGCGGGGCTCGATCCCAGGACCCCGGGATCATGACCTGAACCGCAAGCAGATGCTTAACAACTGAGCCACCAGGCACCCCGGCACAGTTCCAAGTCTTGATGTAGGTGGTAGTTACAAGGAATGTTATCCTTCCAGTACCTCATTATGCTATACACAGGTGTTTGTGTCCTTTTCTGTGTTTTACTTTTCAATAAAATGGTTTTACAAATAATAAAAATGGCTGAAGAAAATGAGGATGCCATGAACCGGTTGAGCAGGATATTTAGGTGGAGCTG